CCCGAGTCGTACGTGCCGCTCGTCGACCTCGCCGCCTCCGATGACGGGGACGACGAAGACACGCCGTCGTCAAGCGACGAAGACGACGACGACGACGAGGATGCCGACGCGTCGCCGCCTCAAGATGAAGACGACGCGCCCACCATTCTCCAAGACGACGACACGTCGGTCGATGTCTCCGCCGTCATTACGGGGACGTCCCGACGCCGCATCATACTCGATCAAGATCCATCGACGTTGCGCTCAGCCAAGGACGTTGCTGGCACCGCCCAAGCTGTGGGAGGTGCGCGACGTCGCAAGCGCAATCGGTCGCCACCGCGGCAGCTACCACGTGCAAACGCGCGGCCGCGGCGATCGGACTCGGCGCGCCGTAAGCCGGACCGTATGGTGCTGCTGACCGACCAACCGCAGACGGACAAGGAAGTGCCGCAGACGCTCGACGAGGTGCGCGCCTCGCCCGACGCGGACAAGTGGATCGAAGCGATGAAGGAAGAAATCGAGTCGCACAAGGCCAACGGCACGTGGCGCCTCGTCCGGCGCCCGCCCGATCGCAAGGTCTTGCGCAACCGATGGCTGCTCAAGCTCAAGGTGCTCAACGCACGACGCTCCTTACGCTACAAGGGACGTCTCGTCATTAAGGGCTTCGAACAAGTCTTTGGTCGCGATTACGACGAGACGTTCGCGCCCGTGATCCGGTTTGAAACGCTGCGTGCAATCTTGCTGTACGCAGCAATGCGCGGCTGGTCGCTGCGCCAGTACGACTTTATCACGGCGTTTCTCAACGCGACGCTCGACCGGCGCCACGTCCTCCTCATGGAGCAGCCCGATGGCTTTGAGGACCCGAACTACCCACGCGACAAATGGGTGTGTCTCCTCCTCAAGAGCATCTACGGCCTGCGTCAAGGTCCGCGCGAGTGGAACTCGATGCTGCACCAGTTTCTCGTCGGCCTCGGCTTCACGCGCAACGAGAAGGATCACGGCCTGTACACGAAAACAGTGGGAGGAGAAGACGACCGCGACATTATTTTCGTGACCGTCTACGTTGACGACCTCATCATCCTCGGCGAAGACGTGCACACCGCGCCGGTGATCGAGGCGCTCCTCGCCAAGTTCAAGATGACGCAGCTCGGCCCGCTCAAGTACTTGCTCGGCGTCGAGATCAACTACGTCCCGGGCAAGCTACTCTCGTTCTCGCAGCGCCGCTACACGGAAGACATCATCGCCAAGTTCGGCAACCCCGGCATGAACCCGACGGACATGCCGCAGACTCCCGGTGCCGAGAAGTCGGCCGATCTCGAAGAAGGTCAACAGAAGGAGATCGACAAGGCCGCGTACCCGTACCGCAACCTCGTGGGTGCTCTTCAGTACCTCGTGACGGGCTCACGCCTCGAGCTCGCCAACGCGGTCCGGACGCTCGGCAAGTACCTCAACACGTACACGCACACGCACTGGGCGATGGCTCAGCGGGTGCTTCGGTACCTTGTCGGCACGATCGACTACGGCCTGGTGTACGACCTCGAAGAAGCTCGGACGTACGACGGCATCACCGTCGAAGGGTGGTGCGACTCCGACTGGGCCAACGACATCAAGGACCGCAGGTCGATCACGGGTTACGTCACGCAGATGAACGGGCAGACGATTGCCGCCAAGAGCTTCAAGCAAGACAACATCGCGTCCAGCTCGACACACGCTGAGACGGTTGCAGCAAGCACGGCGGCCCGCGACATCGTCTGGATGGAACAACTGCTCGAGGAGTCACACCTCACGCACAACCCGTCCATGCTGCTCATCGACAACCGCGGTGCAGTCTCGCTGTGTCAACGGCCCGGCTCGCACAAGCGCTCCAAGCACATTGAAGTGCGACACCTCATCTGCCGCGAATACGTCGAGAAGCGCAAGCTTCGGATTCGCGCCGTACGCAGTGCGGACAACATGTCCGACCTCTTCACCAAGGCCGTCGATCAAGTGCGGTTCCACAAGTTCCGCGACGCGATCGGCGTCATCGACGTCAAGCGCGCCATGGCGAAGGCGCTGTCGACCAAGAAGAGCAACAAGGTGCAGCGCAAGCTGCCAGGTCGGGTGCTACGCCTTGTCATGGAGAACGATCCCGCGTGGGTCACTCCAGGTGAAGTGGACACGGACGATGAAGAGGAAGATGAAGATGAAGATGAAGAAGACGCGCAGGACGCCGACTCGTCCTCCGAAGCGCGCCACGTCCAGGCCAAGCGCCTGCCGAAAGACGTGACCGGCTCAAGCCGGAAGGTACGCCGCGTGACGAAGCAGCAACCCCGTCGACGGACGGAAGCTGCTGAGGTCGCGCGCCGACGCGTACAACGTGCGGCCAAGGTGGGACGCCACGCTTCGGCCACGATGCACGAGAAGAAGGACAGACGGGTCATCCATCTCAGTTGAAGACGGGGACGTAAGAGACTTGCCATTGGGCAGGTATCTTCAACGAGTTGGATCGGTAGACTTGGTCTAAGTATAATATAGAGAAAGGAGGTGGTTTTACAAATGG